CCAGGTGCATTGGGCTGAAGCATCCACTGGGCTTCTCGTTGCTCTCCTGCAATGCAGCACTGCTGGTGTGAATGGTGTCAAGCCACAACACAAACTGCTGATCCCAAAAAGAAGTGCCTTGGGAGCTGTGGGTGCTCGATGCTCCATGGGATCTGGATCGCTACTGATAACGTGCTCCTATAGGCAATGCTTTCAAGGGGCATTTTACAGGCTTATGGTGCACTCTGAAGATCTGATCTAAAGACAGCTTGCATTAGTAAGCTTTGGTCAGGCAAATAAATGCTTTCAGGATCAATCCTGAAGATAAGATACTAGAGCAAAACTCCAGGACAAGAGAATGGCTTAAGGATTGCTGGGAGGTAAAGGAAGAAATCCTATTAGTGATGAATTTGTAAAGTCAGTGAAAGTATTAGGAGGGCAAGAAGTTAGGAGCTGCCCTACATGTAAGAGACAGCCTCACTTAGGAAGAGTGTCACTAATCATAATAACATCTGAAAATGTCATAAAGAGAAAGATCTTTGGCTGTGAGAGAGACCCTGTGATAACAAGCCCAGGGCTTATTGTAGAGGATGTCGTTCAACTGCTGTAAAAGATAGCTCTTACTGACATAAACATGGACAGGGAGCTCTAGAGGAGCAGAAAATGAGTTGCTATTTGGAGACCAGAGTAAGGCAAAATGATTGTAACACAGCCAGTGAATGGTAGGGACATGACTTAAAACATGAGAGTCTCCTAGCTAAGATTAAACAAACATGATTCGTAGATCTTGTACAGTTAAATCTCTTCTGCTGAGACTCGTTTGTCTGAAAGCTGGTTATAATGCTGTCCAGGGAGATTTTAATGTCAAAAGAGACTTTTTTTCCCAGCAGTTAGCTCTGGCAGAACAAGCTGGGCTCACCTCCAGGCCATTTTTTTTCCTATTGTTCATCTTCCCTAGCAGATTCTGCAAGTCTAATTAGCAACAGGGGCTTTGGCCCTTTTCTTGATGTAAGGATGTTGTGACCTTTAGTGACTCTTTGTATCCTTCTAGTGACCTCTGTGCAACCTGGTGGCTTCCCAAGAGCCTGAGCAGTTGGGAAAGCAGTAGAGAGCCCTCTTGTCGGTGCTCCGGATCTCAACTCCTTCCTGTAGGAATTTTGGCACCGTGGGTTTTACAGGAGTAAAAACCTTTGCCAGCCCTGCAGGATTTGCACATGGCTGACTGCAAACTGTGAACAGGTCTGTAAGGTGAGAAAAGTTTTATTTTTCTATTGCTGCTCTTTGAAGTGAAATTCCTTTGAGACGATTTGTCCTGGAGATTAGCAAAAATAAGCAGTTGACTGCTTATTTTGACTGGCACATAGACATTTTTACAGTGAATTACAATATTGGAGGGCTCTGTGATAAATCTCACGCAACAAAGCTATTTACTTTGCTGCTTTCACTGTGACTGTATGCATATTTTGACCTATGTCTATTTTATTTTTTTGTCACACTCTGCACTGTGTCCCAAAGCCTCATCAGCTTTATTTAAAGAATTATTCTGGACCTTTTGCAAAATTACTGTCATGCAAACCCAGTCCCCAAAAGATCATGGTGTATGCACGAACCCTTGTGAAGAAAACCATGCCTGTCTGCCCACCCTTCTTCAGAGCTGTTGCATCTCATGCTAGAATAGCTGCCTTAGGGTACCTGCAGTGCCAAAAATTGTGACAGAGAAAGTATCTGGCCCTGTGGCCCTGATTCACCCCATCCACCATATCAGCAAGAGTGCAAAGGCGGTGGGCTTGTCTGGATTTGAGCAAGTGAAAGGACAAGTTCTGGGACTGAAAACTGCAGAGCAAATGACGAGTTTTAGTTTGAAAGCAGACTTCAGAGCAAGTGAATATCCTTGGAAGAAAATAACACTTGCAGAACAGCACCATTCAAATAAACAAGCTAAAAGCTTGTGTTTCCTCCATCAGCTGCGCTATGAGAACCAGAAGCAAAGCAGAACATGTCTGCCAGGACCAGCGGGATGCTGGCAGCACACCCAAGGTGGTAGGTCTCAAGACCAGGTGCCTGCACCACCTGCCAACACCAATGGCTGGCGCTGAGCCCTGGCAGTCTAGCAAGCAGATGGTCTTGGGCCCCTAAAGGGCTTCGGGACACCAGGGAGGCCATAGGTGCAAATAAAGCCACTCTGAGCATCCTGTGGTGGTGTGGAGCCAGCCTTTTCCACTTCAGATAAATTTCCCCCATCAATCTCCACTATGGCCTGTAGCTTTTTTCAGGAGGTAAAGGCTGCAGTGAAGGGATGGTTTTACATTGTGGTCCTTATGACAGGCCTCATGAAGAGCAAGACATGGCAGTGGCCAGAGAGGAGTAACAAAGTCAGTTGCTATAACTTCTTCTTCTGCATAAGGGATATGCAGGGCTGAGTGCTGAAGGGAGGGGATCTTTTCTCCCCAGGTTCTAATTCTGGGATGGAAAAAGGCATTGACACTGACTGAAATGCAAAGGAATCTTGTCTACTTCAAAACTGTCTTGTATGATCAGTATCTTAATGTATAGGGACCTACACATGAGGGCAAAGAGGAACCAGCTGTACCTCTAAGGCAAGTTGTTCTGCCATATGCAGATGCCTGGTCATGTTGGGCAAACATGAGCTCCCACTGTAGAGCTGCAAAGGAGACCACGACCACAACCCCAGGAGGTCAAAGGGAGTAATTCTGTTTGCAGAATCTACAGGAAGACTGTACAAATACTACACCCAGTCCTGATATCAGTCCTGAAAAAGCAGTGAAGGTACAGAGGAAAACAAGCAAATGTCAGAGTCAAAGCTTAGGAAACATCCTACACTGAGAAATATAAGAAGCTTAATCTTCTGAATATATCTAAGCGAAGATGAAAAGGAGGATTGATCCACCTACAAATACCTGGATGGAGAATAGACAAGCTAGCATAGAACAGGAGCAAATGGGTGGAAGCCAAAGTTTAAAAATACTTGCCACCCTAGTTGAACATCCTACTTGACAACACTGAAGGCAATTATCATAAATCAGAGGTTCAGTGTATAATTCATACATAAGGCTTTGTTGTTTGTGTTTAGTAGGAAATTGGAAGAATGACAATAACCGTCCTTTTTTTTTTACCTTACAAATTACAAGGATGTTAAAAGCATTCATCTCTCATGGCCTATCCCGTCACAAGGGAAAGTGAGTACTCTACTGGGCACCACGCTGCTGACAGACAACCCTACGGTCACATGCCAGCTGTGCTCCTCTCTCCCCATCAGCCCTCCCTCAGTGTCAGTACTGCTCTACTGAGACAGAAATAGGCCAGAAATGACTTCCCAGGCCAGCGTGGGCACACCAGGAGAGTGGTGGGCCCAGCTCCTCAGAGCCATGACACCTCAGGGCTTTCTGACGGTTTTCTCCCGGCACAGTTATGCTGAATATACAAAACACGAGTAAAGAGGCAGCTTCTGTATGAACTGAGTAGGTATTTCTTCTCCATTTCTACATATTTTCAACACTCTGCTGCTGTGATTTGCTAAACCGCCACTTAATCGCACTGACACTGCTGAGCGTTCGGTGCAATGGGAGTTTTCGTTAAAGATGCTAAACAAGAACATGGCTGTGTGTACGCATTCCTCTCTGCTGGATGCTTTTCAGCTCAAACGGTGGTACCTCACTTCCCACCTCTTTATTTGGCTACAGGCAGCACATCACCTCCACTGCCGTTGTCATGAAGCCTTAACAAAAATAGAGGGTTTGTGGCTGTCTTGCATCCATACCGTCTCTGGTAACGCGTTCCCTGGGGGCCAAGTATGAACAGAGCCGCTGCATCCATTTTGCTGGTTATACCTCCACAAAGGTGGCGTCACTGTTAAAGTCATTTCTTATGAATAAAATGGCTGATGGACCCCCAAGTGCCAGCCGGGACACTGCAGCCACTCTGTAACATAGCCCTGACTTGTTAAAAGGCACTAAAGGAAAAACAAAGGGCATGGCACTTTTCATCCCTTCCACCTTTCTGTCATTTATCCTAATGGCTAATAGGAGTACTCTGAAATCCTCAGGCCTGTGACATTCCTGCATTCTCATTCCCATAGACGGTATTAATGGTGATATGGAGTCATTACAGAACAGAAATAGTGACTATAGCAAAGCAGAAACATAGGTTCATTCTGTCACAAGCAGAAGTGCACAACATGTGAACAGAAAACTGAATATGTCAACTATATTCTCAAAAAAAAAAAGAAAATCCTAAAGGATTTTTCCCCAGATATATCTTGTTTTGTGACTGAGTATAAGAAATCCTCATGCAAAGTTCCAAATATTCCCAGAACAGAATATAAGTAACTAGAACTCAGTTTTAGCAGAAAAAAACCTTCCTCAATGCAAAATATCCTAAAATGGCTGTCTACAAGATAGTGGGAGAAAATATCACATAGGGTTGGTTGTTTTTTTTTTTTTGAGAGAGAGAGAGAGAGAAAGAGCTGACAATATTTGAAATAATTTTAAATATGTTACTTCAGTACACTGAATGGTCTTTCTGTTTCCTCTGATAACTGACTGTAGTCTTCAGATTTGCAGAGACCTTTTTTTTTTCCTTAAAAGCTCTATAAAACAAATGGTATAGGAATAATAAAATAAATTCATAATATTTTAATTTTATATCTCAAGTCATTCTAATCTTCAGTGAATGCAACAATCCTCATGGACCTAAATTTCCTCTCCACTTTCTTTTAAATACTTTACCACATTTAAACCACAATAAATATAAGCATATACTTCTTTTTTCATCCTTTCAAACTTCAAAATACCTCACAAACACATTTTTTGGAGGGAACAATGATTCTCACTGTAGAAAATGCATTAAAACTTATTCATTGGCAAAAACAGCAACAGGAAATATTTTTAACTGAGAGATCGCAATCTGCAAATTCAAACTGTAATTATCTGTTAGTTATTATATCTTCAGCTGAAACATTTGTCCAAACTGTAGCTATTGGAATGTAAAAAAATTAGACTCACCTGCCTTTTTTGTATACCTCATGTATTTCTTTTCCTTGTCGGTGGACTCTGCATTCAGTGCATAAAACCCATCCCCACAACAGGAGGAAGATGCTAAAATGCATTTTATGGACAGTCAACATGTTACCTGAAGGTTCTGTATCCAGAAATAGTCCATACAAGAAGAAGAAAACCAAAATGTAGATCCTATTCCTCTTTTTAAGACATTATCGGTCAGATCGTTATTGGAAGGATGTTTACTCATACAAAAAATCATCCTGCAGTATTTAATCTGGACAGTGGGGAAAGCAATTTCCACTAAACCTATAAATCCTTCTACGTCAGATGGCAGGGATTTTCTAGCAGTGTTGAATTCACGTATTCTCAGAGAACAATTATTTTTTGTCCAAACAGGCTATTTTATTAATTGGTTTAAATTGAACCCTTTTCAAGTACCTGTGGGATATTGCATATATATATTTCTTCCTGGTTAAGCAAAGCAGTGCAGTTAGTCAGGCAGGTGCTGTTAGTCATTCTTTAATCACCAAACTTATCTCTGTGGCTGTGATGTTTGTTACAGGCATTGCAATAGATTGAAAAAGTGTTAATAAACATGTATTACTTTCCAGCAAAACCTCATTTCCTTTTAGCTCTACAAACGATATTTTGATCCTTTGTGGTTTTATACATTAAAATACAGCAGTACTTTGGCTGGAGTGTTCGGTGCTTACAGGACTTTTGTCATGCACCTCACTGAGCAGGATCTTGGGAAAGTCTCCAGGTGTGCAGAGGAACAGGGGGAGGATAGCATGGGGACAGAGCTGTCTTCTTTGGGGACCTTCACTGCAAGAGGGACATTGAGGTGCTGGAGAGGATACAGAGGCAGGCTATCAAGCTAGTAAAGGATTTGGAGCATGTGTCATACGGGGAACAGCTGAGGGATCTGGGGCTGTTTAGCCTGGAGGAGACTGAAGGGAGACCTCATCGCTCTCTACAAATGCCTGAAAGGAGGTTGTAGCGAGGCAGGAGCTGGTCTATTCTCCCTAGTAGCAAGTGTTAGGACAAGAGGAAATGGCCTTAAGTTGTGCCAGGGGAGGTTCAGGTTGAATATTAGGAAGAATTTCCTTCCTGAAAGGGCTGTCAGGCATTGGAACAGGCTGCCCAGGGAGGTGGTTGAGTCACCATCCCTGGAGGTGTTTAAGAGATGGGTAGATGTTGTGCTGAGGGACATGGTTTAGTGGGGTTGATAGGGCTAGGACAAAGGTTGGACTCAATGATTTTGAAGGTCTCTTCCAGCCAAAACTGTTCTATGATTCTATGGTTCTAGAGCTGTGTGAAGGGATTCTGCTGAAGCAGAGCAGCAAATGCCAGAGCTGCAGGAGAACCGGCGGGCCTAGTGTGCTGGGTGTCATGTAGCTGACAAAATCGTCATCAGTGCTAAAGAAAATAAAACAGCACTGGTGGAAATATGTTGCCAAACCAAGACACATTGCCCATTTCTTCGGAGCTCACTCCTCCCTGCATAACCCATAGCTCCGTGTTTACACTCCTCCTCTGTGCCTCCCCCCCAGCTCTGGTCCCACTTGGGCCTCATGCTCTGCAGACACCACCAGCCTTGTCCCATCCCTTTGTTGTCAAGGCTCTTCTTCAGCCTGCTACCCATGGATTTTTATTTTAGAGCAGCTTGCCAAGTCTCTCATCTGTTTTCAGGAAAGCCCTTTCTAAAAACCCCAGGGAACAGATCTCCACCTGGTCTAAGCAGCCATGGCTCTATTAATTTCAGTGAGCATTTAGAATGTCTCAGGATCCACAGGAACAACAAATCACAAACCACTGAAATTTCATTCCATTAGCCAAGATTCAATTTAATGATTTGCTAGGTTAAAATATTTCCTACACAAAGTCATGCAGGCTTCAAGAGATGGGAAATCAGTCACCCAGCGTTTGCTGCAATGGTTAATCCCTGTTACTGTTCAAAGAAGTTCTACCTATCTTATTGTTGAAAATTACCTGCATTCAGTTTCCACTGATTCATGTATCCTTCTCAAGGATAATAAAAAATACCTTAATAACTGTTCTTTTCACCTGTGATGATATTAGATATATTCTTTTCAGTCTTTTCAATAATCTATATAAAGCTTTATGATGTCTTTCATCAAAAGAAAGTTTTCTTCTTTTTGGAATACTTTTCTTACTTCATACACGTTTTGAAAAATCGCTAGTCCCTTGCTTATGCCCTAGAGGAGCAATGGGGATTGACAAGCAATGGATAACTATGAATTCACTTAGATGCCTTGGAAAACCTGGAGGACCCTTGGTACACGTGAAAGGAAGGAAACATTCATCCACTCACCAACAGAGGGAAATTACTTAAGAAGATCTAGAGAAGGCAAAAACACGATGTTCGATTCCCCTTTTTGGGATTGTTGTTCATAGAAGAATTACAATACAAACAATTTATAAAAAATTCCTAGAAAAAATCATCAGACAACTCCTAAACTCCTGGAAGAAAACCACTGGATGAGGGATAGACATGAGCTTGTGAAGAACAAACATGTTGAACAAACTTCATTTCTTTCCCTGTCAGGCCAACAGTCTTCCTAGCTTGGGGAGAAGCAGTAGATTTAGACAAGCCTTTGGCACCAGCTCACACAACATTCTCATAAGCAAGGCAGGGAAGCGAAGTCTTGATGAAATACTGGTAGGACTGATGCGAGCTAGTGCTAAGTTTAGCTTACTTCATCTTGCTATACCTCGAGTCCATGACTTGCTGCCAACGTGCTAGAAAGTAGTAAGTTTTGCAAATGATCTATCTGCAAGGAAGCTGTGAACCACCTGGGTGCATAACCCAAAGTAAAGCCTTAAAAAGGTAGAAATGGCACAGTGTATATCCGCAGGTGTGTAAAAGGCACTTCAAAGAGAAAAATCCCCGTTCCAAATGGCTGGGATACACAGAACAAAAAATAATGGGCTGAGAGATTAGTAAGAGAAAAAATGAAGTTACATGTTAGATTAGATACTAGGAATATTTTCTGATAAGGACAGGGAAGCATTGCAGTAGATTACACAGGAAGGGTTTCCATCATTAGAAGGAGTTAAGACAGGTAAAGCTGATCTTATCTTAGGACCGAAGCTTAGACTATATTACTTCTCAGAGTCGCATTCAACACTGTTTCCTTCTGAATTTCCCAGAGGAAAAATGGTAGAAAGCTGGCATATGAGAATTAGGACAAACGTGAAAAATTCAAACATCCAAGAAAAAGATAAAATATGGCTATGTGCCTTACATATGAAAAATAAAACAGAAAATTTGAACAAAATATATTTTTTAATATTGTCCTCAATTTTCGTTTACTCTTGAGCTTGAGTAGGGAGTTAATTTTGTCTGCTTTCTCCATGGGAACAACTAGAGATTAAAGATGTAGCACTATTTTCATTTGCTAGATAGAAACCCTCTGGATATCAATCAAGAAAAGAATGAATAATTTGCAGCAAACAGTATTTTCAACAAGTTCATCTGATTTTACAGTTTGTAGACTAGATGTGAGCTGACTGCCATCTCCTCAAATGACTTTATTTTTTAAGCTTGTCAGCTGATATATCTGGGGGAAGGGTCCCGAGCAATTTTTTCCATTACATGAGTATTTGCAAATATAAAACTAAACATACCCTCTACTTTCCAGATTTCAAACTAGTAATAACATAAGCACTAACCTTCCACCCATATCTGACAACATTTACCAGTTCTCAGAGCAAATTTTAAAATATCATTTGAAAGTTACAATACCACTGACTTTCCCAACTTTCTCTTGGCTTTCCTAACTTTAACATCAGTTCTATGGACAGGAGACAGCCATCCAAATATGAAATGATTGTGCTAAATCCCTCAGAGATAATCAGTAGCTGATCCAGAAGCAGACCAAGAAGTGGGAATGGACTGTAGACATGAAGTCAACAGAGCAATGTTGAATTTCAAAGTAGGAAAGGCCAACTATTTCCTTTTTATGGCCAAAGTCATTTTTCCTGGAATATTGTTGTGTTTGAAGCTGAATACCAGGCTTCTTTGGGTTAGAATAGGAGTAGAATGCAAATGATAACAGATGAGGGAAAAAAAAAAAAACAACACCTCAGGTAGTTGAAACAAATTATATTAAATATGAAAGTTACAAAAATTTAGTGTTCTTGTCTCAAGCAGAAATGAGTAAGGTTTGGATCCTTTGGCTTGGGGCACAGTTCTCAGCCGTTGACCCCATGCGCAGTGTCTTGGCCTCTCCTCAGGGATGCCACCCCCAGCTCCTGCTCAGAAGTAAACACTTCATTCCATTTGACCTAACCATATTATTATAATTTGTTAAATAAACAAGTTTTGAGCCAACTAAAGACACACTGTTTTCATTTGACTACAGAATAATCAACTATTTGTCGAATTCGATTTATAAACTGTCTATCTACAAAATGAGAACATAGAAGAAAAAAATTGAGACTTTTTTTTTGCTTTTGAGTCAGCTGTATACTGAGATGCTGAACTTGTCAGGAGCAAAAATCCAGTCTGGAGAACAGTCACAGAAGCCATCAGCCACAGGAAACCAGGAGTATTTCCAGTGCCCAAGAAGGCAAGGCACAACATAGCACACAATGATAACCCAGGTCAAATAATGAACCAGGACTTCTCTTGTTTAATGACTTACCCAAAGCTCAAAATAGTGCAGTAGTACATAGTTTACACAGTGTAAATATCCCTGGAGCTATAATCAGACTGCAGCAGCCACACATGAAAGAGCCTGTAGCATTTACATTTTCTACCTCTTCCTAATGGGTATCTGCCTTTATATAAAAGGTTTCAAGGCAAACGTGGTTGGATGTGTCACTGTATCCCTGTCGTGATTTACATTTACAGGAGCTGGAAGAGCACGAGGGTACCTGTGTAACTGATAGGATGCTGTCTGACTTCTTACGGAAACTTCTTTCTCCCGTGCAGCTATGATTCTTTCTGAAACAGCACCCTGTGTCTCCAGGGCACAGTGGCCAGAGTATAGGTTTTTTAACTTCTTTAGTGCCTTCAATCATGGATGCTGTCAGAGACTTTAAAAATGAGGCTCAGTACGAAGTTAGTGAGGTTTCTGAATCTTTTACTTTTGTCTGT